TTAAAAAATTTTGTTTTTTTTTAACTTTTCTTTTTGCTTTGCAATTTCACTCTTATTTTAACCCTCTCACATTAACAACTCTCCCAACTTAGATCTTTCACACTTCTTTATTTTGAAAATTTTAAAAATTCAAAGTCTTACATGTGTTTTTGGAAAACCATCCATGTTTTTAAATGATAGTTGGTTTTGGTTGATTCTCTCTTCAATGTTTTCAATGAGAAGTAAGTGATGTTGTGCCTTGAAGGTAGTGCTATGCATTTTTGAACCTTGAGGATGATCACTTGAGATGCTAACCTTGTTGGAAGGATATTTGAGCCTAAATTCTTTTGTTTGTGTGTATCTACTTAATTTCATATCTTTCTAGAACTTGTTTTAATTCTTAATCAAGGCTTAATGAACTAATACTTTGTGAATATGATAGAGACATTTGTTTCAAAACCTTTTCGACCAAACACTCAACCAAATAGCTAGGCGTTCTTCCTTCTAATGATAAAATCAAATAAGATATTTTCTTTTTAGTTCCCTATAAAGCAACCAGTTATGTTAGTTTTGCTTCTATTTTTTTTCCAAGCTAATTGGGGGAAGGTTGGTGATTCTATATGCAACTTTCTTAGAGATGTTTTTGAAGGTAAACTATTCTGCATGAATAGAACTCCGATCTCTTTTATTCTCAAAAATGACAATCATGAAATTTTTAGGCATTTATGCCTATCTCTTTGTATTTGGTGCGCTATAAATGCATTGCTAAAGTGATCACTCAATATTTGAAGAGAATTATGGATGTTATCATTTTGCTCTTCCAATTCAGTTTTATCGGTGAAAGGCATATTTAGGATAATATTATACTGGGTCAAGAAATTATGCATAGTATGACTAAGGCCTAAGGGAAGATGGGTCTTATGGCGGTGAAGATTAACCTAGAGGAGGTGTATGATCTTATTTCTTGGGACTTTCTAAGGCAAGTTCTTATAGTGCTTCTAGGACGAAAGATAATTTAATCAACTTGATTATGCATTGTCCGTCTTCTGCGTCCTATGATGTGCAATAGAATGGTGTGGAAACAAATTATTTTGATCCTAATAGGGGTTATCGGCAAGGAGATACTATCTTCCCTTTTTCTGTTTGTGCTTTGTATAGACAAGTAATCTCGCGTTATATGCGATGTTGTGGATGCTAATAGTAGATGGAAACAGAATTATATTATAGAGAATGGGCCATCGGTCTCTCATCTAATGTTAGCATATAACTTACTTCTTTTTGGAGAGGCAAAAATCCAATCATGATAATTTTTTTCTTTTTCTTGATTAATCTACAATATAATTCAAACATAGTTGGTCAAAGTAGGATATTAAATATACTTTTTGCTTCTAATAATTTGACATCATCGAAACTAATCATATATAACATATAAGATTCAAAAACATCACTATAGTCTATTGGGCAAAAACTAAAATTAAGTTTGAAAGTGCAATTACAAAAATCTCTTACTAATGAAAGAAAGACAGGTGAAATTACAATGTTGCCTATGTAAATTTACAACAATTGATAAAAAAAAAAAAAGTAAAAACTCTACATTAGAAAATTTACAACAAATGATAGAAAAATAAAAATTTTATATATAACAATTTGCAACAATGTAAAAAATTACAACACTAGATATGAAAATTTACAACAAAGATTTATTGGTGGGGTTATTATTTTACTTTTTTTTTTGTTATAAATTGAATATCCATATGTAAAGTAATTTTTCTATTTTTTATTGTAAATTTTTTAAGACAAAAGTTAGGTTAAGCTGCATATATCGATTAGGTCAAATTTATATATAGATTCATAAGTGTTTGTACATATTTTAATAACTAACAATAACAAAATAATAGTGTTCATATGAAAATTTGGAAACCTTAATTTACATAATGAATTAATACAAAAATTTACTAGCGTTTACCGATGAATTTATAAATGTACATACACATTTTGACAACTAGCAATAACAAAATAAAACACCTGATTGGAGAACTTAATGGATATAAGTAACTTAACCAAAGTTTTGTTTATTCTTTTATTATTTATGGTAAATTTTCATATGCGGAATTATTATTTTTCTATTCTTTGCTAAAAATATTTATATGTAAAATTGTAATCTTTCTATTCTCTATCATAAATTTTTTATGTAGAGTTGCTATTTTTTATTTATTTATTGTGAATCTCTATATATAAAGTTGTTGTTTTTTACTTTTTGTTGTAAATTCTCATATGTAGCATTGTAATTTTTTTTTTAATTCTTCAACGGTATTTGCAATTTACTGTAGTGCATCTATTTCTTTTTTCATTAGTTATGTTACTCTTGTTATTTTGCTTTCAAACTTAATTTGATTTTTGAACTAACAAATTGCAGTGACATTTTAAAATTTTTTAAGCCTTACATTTTAATAAAGCCACTTCTATTAGACTTAACTAAAATTTTCTTTAAAGAATACTTTAAGATGCTTGATACATATTTATTTAATAGACTTTTGAGGAGTCAACAGGGAAGTTAAAATCCTAAAAAAACACTTTAAAGGCACAATTGTTCCTAAAAAAATTAACACTTTAAAAGTAAAATTGTGCCACAAAAAAAAAGTTTCAAGATGCTAAATATATCACAATATGCACCAAAGCACCTTAATCCTGCTTCCAACCGTTTGGTTGAAATTATCTTTATAAATTTTACTCCCTCTTCCACATGGTAAATAAACATCTAGCATCATGGAATATTTTTTTAGTATCACTTAGTGTGCCAAACGCCAAATACTAGATGTTACTGAAAAAATCTTGTAGTGAATTAATTTGTAGTGCATCAAGCACTCTAAACTATTTTTTCAGTAGTACTTAGCATTTTAAAATATTTTTTGATGCAATATTTTAGGGTGCTAGCTCTAAAAATTGATTTAGTGTATTGGGTGCTAAAAATACTTAAGTATGATGGATGCTACATATTAGGTGTTACATAGAAAATATTTTCAGGAGCTGACTAGACCAATCATTATTTTAGAATTTTAGATGGTAGTGAAAAAATATTTTAAGATAAAAAGTAGTATTAAAAAAATACTTCAAGATGCTAAATTTTTTTTATAAAAAAAGGACTTCACCTCGCCTATTCTATAGGGTGTAGTTTTAAGCACAGGATCGTAGCATATGGGAAGAGGAAAAAGGAGAGAAACCGGTTTCCTTCCACAGCCATTGGACAGACTCGACTCACTTGAAGCTTGTTTGGTATAAAGGCAAAAAATTTTGAGAACGTCTTTTCATATAATACAAGGTAAGTATTATAAGGAGAATTTTATTAGCTAATGCTTATTATGAGGTAGCTAGTAAGCTACAAATATGCCCTTATTGGACCACGGAAGCAGCTTCCTCCTCTTCAGTTACCATCCGCTTCTCCTCCTCTACCCAAAACAATGCCGGTTTGGGTGTTAAAATGAGGGATTGCCATTTTTTTTTTAATTTTTCAGTAATATCGAGTATTCTAAAATAATTTTTAATACACCTAACTCTCAAAATTATTTTTTAGTAGTACCCAATATCTAACAACCTACATTCTAAACTATTTTTTTTAATAGCACAAGTATCTAAAAAATGGAAGCTAATAACTTTTTTAAAACCAATATCTATCACTTTGAAGTATTTTTAAATAGCATTGAATGCCTTGAAATAATTTTTAAAGGGTATTTCGATAGAATCAAAACTATAGTTTTAAAAGTGCTTTTACGGTGTACGAAGCAAATATGTGGAGAAGTTTGTCTCATTTTGTTTTAAAAAAAAACACTTTTTGATACTTCCAATTTCCAAACACCTCCTTAGTCCATTTTACACTTGAAAACATCTTTTTGATAACACCCAGTATTTAGCAAGTTGGTCATGCAATATTTTTTTTTTGTAGCACATGATATTCTAAACTGATTTTAGGATATTGGGTGTTAGTAAAAAAAAAAATAATGCTGAGTACTATAGGCACTAAAAATTAGATTAATAAATTGAGTGCTACTAGAAAAATAAATCAAAATACAGCTTGCTAGGTAATGGATACTGAAAATTATTTTTGGATTTTAGGTGCACTAAAAATTATTTTTAGCTATTGGATGGTATTGAAAAATACTTAAGATAAAGAAAGTTGATTTGAAAAGAATAAATAAATAAAGAACGTTGATTTGAAAACAAAACAAGGAAAAATCACTTAAAAAAACGCTGTTAAAATAAAAAAATTATAAATAAAGACCCATGATAATATTAGCATTGTTGTCAAACTCGCAAGTTGACTTCTCGAGTTTAACGTTTTTACGTTTTCAGCTAATAAAATCATGTCGACTCATTCTTAAACTTGTGATAATTGTAAACTCGGTTAAACTTACGAGTTTATTTACCGAGTTTACTGTTTTATATTTTTAGCTTATAAAATCGTGTCAACTCGCTATTAAACTTGTGCTAAATTTTTAGATATAATTATATTTAGTAATTTTATATATGAATTTTATAAAAAAAAATTTGTTGAATATGATAAATTATAAACATTGATAGATATAATTTTAATTATTTAAATTTAAAATATATTTAAATAAAATTGTTTTTATTTTTTATATATTAATTATTTGATTATATACTTTTAATATGAATTAACGATCTGAGTTTACATTATTATCACAATTTTGTTTGAAGTCGTGAGTTTGACAACTTTAAATATTAGTGTAGGTTTTGATAATAATATGGGTTTTGATAATAACTTCTGTGAACGAATTCATGTGTGCAATTTTTTTTATTTCAGCAGTTTTTTTTACGATTTTTTAAGAAAATAATAAATAAATAAAATGAGTTGATTTTTAACGCCCAAAACAGCATAGTGTTGTGCGATCGACCAAGATTCTGTAGCTTGCAATGTGGGTGCCATTGAATTCGGCCTCCGTTTAATTTACCCCACTAGTCTTCAAGTTGAGCTTCTTCATCTTCTTCTTTGGTGATTGTATTTCCGGCAGTTAACTGTTACCGCGGCATTTTTCTTGAAAGGAAGGAGACGTGGGCTGCTTTGATTGAGTGTATGATAAAAGTTGAGCTGCTGTTATTGACCTTTCAGTTGTTAAATTCTCCATGAAAGCCTTTTAATTTCTCTGAATTATGGATATTCTTGGCCATATATTTAGGGAGTGATTGATAACCAATTTGGGGCTGTTATTGGACAAACAACGGAGGAATAGATGATTCTCTGATCAGCTTGGCCTTTGAATTTGTGGCAATGTTTCTTTACGATAAGCCACCGCCTATATCCATTCTATTTTGAAAGAGTTGTTGATAGCAAAAAAAATTTTGAAGGTGTTACAGAACTGAGGGCTGCAAGTTGAAGAAATGTGGCCCCTTATTTATTTGTCTGATTTAGGGTTCTTGCTAGTTCTGTAATTAAGTCGAATACTGGGCCCCAACCATATTTCATGCTCTGAGATATTTCCGTCTCGCTCTTTGGTATTTATTGGTGGCACAGGAAAGGAACAGGCAGAAGAAGATGGGGTTAGCATCACTTGTCATCGACTCACTATGCTCTCCAATAAATATCACAAAACCTATGCGCTGTCACGGCCGCTTCCTCTCAACCTTCACATCTCCTCTTCTCAGCCCATTTTCAGTATGTTCTTCGCACCATTCAGTCACTCTCTTTACTAATTGTTAGATCTGTTCTTGAGATTCTAACTTGAGTTTTACTATTACAGTCAAGTGTGAATCTCTTTTACAATGGTGAGAACTGAAAACTCAGCCACTTGAGAGATTAGTTACTTAATGTCCTGCAACGATTTTATGAAAATTAAAAATTTTCAGTAGGAACTGGGCATTGGAAAATTGTGGTGGGTTTATTGCTCCCCGATGATATATTTGCACACATTTGTTTTTAAATTGAAACTGTTTTGAATCTTGGATTTCCCATTGGCACCCAAAAAAAAAAAAAGAATCTTGGATTTTCCATGCTTGTGCTTGTCTACTCTGTGTTTTGAGCATTGAGTTGCGCAACATGCAGATTACAGTTTATAGCTTGGATAATTAGATTGTCAACACTTAGAGGACAATAATGCTATTGAAAAGGGGCAAACCTTCAAAATAGCAGTTACACTAGGTTATTAAGGTCATTAAGCTAGATTTCAAAATGTGGCTACACTAGGTGCTCATCAAATAGAGCAGTATTCCAAATTCCAACAATTTCTTCTGGAAGGGTTTAAGAGATGACTGTAATTGTGGATATCCAAAACCTTCAGCTCGATGCTGCGTTGGATCAAGATAAGATTTGTTGTTAATTTTCCTATGATTCAACTGTATTTTCCCCCAATTGTGAGATTCTTCTTATAAATTGTGAAGACATGCATATTACCCTTTCAAGCAAAGGTTTCCTTCTGAAGGGAAGAAAGGTCTTAATCATTCCAAAAATAATTTATGGTTAACAGCTTCCTTTTGTGCCTTTTTTGTAACCAAACCTTTTGTATCATTTGACCATGCAATATGCATGTTTTTTTACTGTAATTCTTCAGCTTTTTCCAGAAAAAGTGCAATCGGAATCTTCAAAAATCTGTTCAAGACTTTGCAGGCCAAAAAATAGCATGTAGCTTAATGAAGATTGAAAATGATCCAAATGATGAAGTATGTGAATTAGTCAACGGAGTGGAGGTTTCACTTGGGGAGTTGGAAGATAGTATCCATGCTTATCTCTTCAAGGCAGTCAAAAACAATAATGGAACTGGCATATTGCTTCTCTCAGATATTTTTGGCTCTGAGGATTCTTTCACAAGAGATTTTGCATATCGAATTGCTTGCAATGGCTTCAAGTATGTTCCTCAACTTTTAAGTTTGATTCAACCCATACTTTTCAAAATGACATTTAATTTGAGGGTTAATTATAGTTGTAGAATCAATATACCTTTGTCACATGTTTATTATCAATCGCCATATAATCACTCTGGTATTTTCATCCAAATTTTGACAAAATTAACTGTTTGAGTATTAAGACAATGAAATATTTCGTTATTGAAACGTCTATTTTACTTTTTTAGGGAGCATCTTCATGGTTTTTCTTCTAAATACAGCTTAATATTTGCAGTAGCTTTAAAATGCTATCAAAACATTTAAGATACAAGGTCTTATTTCGTGTCCCTAGCATTTTTTCCCCACCCCCAATGTGATGATCATTTTTCACTCACGTATACTGTTGTCACTCCCTCTTATTCTCTATTTTGGTTCCAAAACTAAACCCAAGTAGTGTACACCTGCAGAAATAAAAACGCTCATACTATAAGAGAATAGAGTAAAACAGACAACTTGATTTTAGATAAAAGCAAAGGAAATTATTCTGTATTATGTGTTGGATAATTCCCAGGTAGAGGAGCTCATCAGTCTATTCTCTCTTCGTGTTATGCACAAAATTGCAGCATCCTAGTTCCAGACTTATTTCATGGAAACCCATGGTCAAAGGATCGGCCGAGGGCTATGTTCAAAGAGTGGATTGCTGCACAAAGCCGTGAGAGAATCCTCAAAGACATATGGAGGTGGACAAAATGGATGGTTGATGAATTCATGGCTGCAGGAATCTCAAAGAAACTTGGCATTGTGGGATTCTGCGTCGGAGGAGGCCGAGTGTTAGAGGTGCTAGCACAGGACACTGGTGCTTGTTTTGGCGCAGGAGTCTCCTTTTATGGCACAACGATGGAATCCCTTGATGTTTCTGATATAAAAGTTCCTGTTTTGTTTATTTTAGGGGACAATGACCCACTTTGTGCTGTGAGTGCTGTCCAGAATATTAACAAGAAAATTGATGGAGGCTCTAAAGTAGTGATATTCCAAGGTAGAGGTGATGGATTTGCCCACAGGCCTGGATCTCCTGAAGAAGATGCTGATGCTGAGAAAGCCTTCATGATTATGAGAGAGTGGTTGAATGATAATTTGGTTGTGTAAATGAAATGATTTAGATTCTGTAATAGCATATTCCCAACATTAGTTTCTTAACATGTACAAGGATGCTTGAGATTGTAGTTTTTCACCTACTGTTGTAAATAGCGGTGTTTGAAGAGCTAATTCCTGAATTAGTATATTATCACTTAACAGATTTCTTTTCTGAAATGGGACAAGATAATCTAAAAAATAAGAGTAAAATATTCTGACTATTTTTTTAGGTTGTATCAATTATATATATTTTCTTTCTATTTAAAAAAAACTAGTTTAATCCAATTAGTTAACAACGTTAGGAATATTTAAAAAAGATTTTAAAAATATTATTTTTAACTAAAATTTATATTAAAATAAATTTTATTTACTATTTTACCTTTCATTTTAATAAATTTCTAAATTATTTTTTTTTATAGTTGCATGAATTTGTTAAGGAAAACATAAAAAACTTGATTAAAAATTTAACTAATTTTTTTAATAAATATAGATATACTTGACTAAATATGTTTATAAAAATGTGTTTAAAAGTTTTGAATTATAAATTTAAATAATTTATAAAATTTTTTGAACTTATATCATTTAAACTATAAACAAAAACTATGTATTTGAAATATGTTTTTACAATTTAAAAGAAATCAAAGTGAATAATTTCTAATGAATGTGATAAAATATTAAAATTATAAAATTTTACAATTTAGATCAAAATTAGTAAATTTTATAGCATATCAGAAATTTTAAAAATATATGTATTAGAATTATTTTTTGATTTTATTAAAAAAAATTTTGAAAAATATAAATGTCTAAATAATTATTAGAGAAAATCCTAAAAAAATGACTATTGAATTTTAAAATTTTCAAATCAAGAATTACTACAAAAACGTGCTACCATTTGCTTTTCGAATGTACTCTTCTTTTTTTTTTAGTATAATAACCAATATTGATTTGAAATTTTGAAATTTAACAATCATTTTTTTTGGATTTTCTCTAATTATTAAGTTAAAAAGGGGCATTTTGGTCAAAAAAATTAAAGTCAAACTTTACGGTTAGCTAACAGTTTGGGCAGGCGAAAATAGAATCTTAAATATATGAGGAAAATTTGTGTAACATATATTTTAATTGTAAGAAAGGTTTATATGTGTTTTCAAAATAGAATGAATGTTTTTATAATTGAGATAAAATAAAAAGGTGATCAATGTATTTTACTTAAAAAAAATATAAACTAATTTATGAAATAGGAAACTAAACAAGATAACAAGAAAATAAATAAGCAAAACAAAATACGCAGCTGGGATTGCCTAGAATGATGACAAAATAAAAATCTTCATAAAATACATAGCTGAAAGATGTGTGATCGCATAATCTAATGAGCAATAATCATATGACTTGAGAAAACAAGTGTGGGCTTCTGTAAGATTCAATTTGAGTTGTCCATAAGTGCACTTTAATTTCTATTCATGTTTGTTACCAAAAAAAAAATAATACTCATGTTCCCCAACTTCCATGGTCCGCTACAATATGTTTTTTGTTTTTTTGCCACCATTACAATATGTATTTAGACTTCAATATGCAAGAATAAAGCCATGTTTGCTTTTATTAAGTGAATACAAGTGTTTTGGGCCTTTAATGTATTGATGTTGACTCTAATTGCATTTTGTGACCTCTCCCTCAAATGTTATGTCCTCAGCTAAAGATGAATTATAAATAGGGTAAAGTGAATTTAATATCCTAAAATATTTTTTCAAATCTATTTAAATATTTTAAAATATTTGTGATATATTTAGCACTCCAAATTATTTTTTAGAACAATTTTTTCACTTACCAATTTAAGATTCCAATGCACCCAAAAGTAATTTAGGTGTAGGACACACAGGCAAACCTCAAAAAATACTTAAATATACTAGATGTACCACAAAATATTTTAAAATATTAAATGTACTTAAAAAAATAATTTAAGATGCTTAGTACACCTTAACCTTTCATTAAAAAAATAATTCAAGTCATTATGGGCATGTTTGGTTTGTGGGGGAGGAAAAATACTCCCCTCCCTGCATTTCGTTAGAAATTTTGGAAGAAAATGGGTAAAAAATCTCCGCTCCTTCCCCTACATCTATTTAGCTATTTTTTTAAATTGATTTTTTTAGGGGAACCAATATTTTAGACCATTTGCAGTCATATTTTTTATAATTAAAAAATATATTATTATAATTAATTTCAAATAAAAATATCTTATTGTAAATAAAAATATATTACCACTCGTTTTTAGAACTAGTTTAACATTCAATTTGATTTTAAATATAAGATTTCAGTTCACTTTATTTCTTATATTTATTCATTTTTTTCAGGTAATCTTCGAAGCAGTTATACATGTTAAAAGTTTCATGAAATGATAATTCTTGCTAATACACATAAGTAGTAAATATATTTTAGGGAAGACAATACTTATTTATTATAAATAACTAATTTAACTAATTTTCTTAACCTATTCAAATTAGTCAACCAGTTCTTATATTAAAGACCAGAGGTAGTATATTCTTATAATTAAAAAATATATTATAGGAAAAATTAATTTAAGATAAAATTATTGCTACAATGACATTTTATATTATTATAGAATTAATTGATTTTTACAAATATATTATTTTATATATTAAAAATATATATATATATATTAAAGCTGGAAGAAAAATCATAGCCAAAAGAGAACAAAAATTTCATTTTTGTAATTTGATTATTTAAAATATATTATTAGATAAATTAGAATAAAAAATCACTTTAGCAATTTTTAATATACATATTAATATGATAGGACTGAATTTTTATTAAATAATGTAATTCTAATTAAGATGTAAATTAATTTATATAATATATAAATAAAAATATAAACAAATATGTAAGGGTAAAATGTTAAATTGATTATTACTACTCCTTTTCTTTCTTTCTTGAAGAGATCATTAAACATGCCTTTCCTCCCCTCTTTTCTAATCAAATCAAATAGGTCCTGCTTGGTAGGAAACATTGAGAATACAAGGCAAGGATTGTGATTGAAATTGAACAAAACCATTAAAGGGTATTTGTTAGATAAGATTAGGCAATCCCATGTATGTGAAATTAGAGAATATCACCTCCCTCCCTAATCCCACATATGTTGGTTTGCCCAATTCCAAGTAATAAGTAATTATTGATAATAAACACTATTTTAACATATTTTTCACTTCCAATTATAATTCTTACCTTTCATTTTTAATGTTTTATACCAAATAAGACTATAAGATAATATTAAAACCTTCTCAACCCACTCTTCCTTATTTGACCCTCAAACCAAAAGGCCCATAAGGGTATCAGTGTAACATCTCAATTTTTGGGCCTAGAAGTATCAGAAATAGCCTGAATGAGATAGGCTACCAGACCCCTTTTTAGTAGAGGTCTTAAAGATGAGAAAGAAAGTTAAAGCAGTTTTAGGGACTAAACTGCAAAGTGAAAGTTTTAAGGGGCTAAAGCGTAATCAAAGTTAGAGGCTCCAATAAAGTCTCAAAGGCCCAGAAAGAGAAAAGAGGCTAGATACAGACCAAAGGTTAAGTTAGAAGTCTCAAAGAGATGGTTTTATGAGGTTGAGCCTAAGCAGGGGTAAAACCGTAAATTCTGAAAGTTACGGCCATCAGGGGTAAAAATTGAAAGTACTTAGAAAATTCTAAGAAAATCCCAAAAAATGGAAAATAATATTCTAAGGCTCTTTTGTGAAGGGAGATGACAAAAATACCCCTGAGGTAACTTAAAAGGAATTTATAAGTTTATGGCTCAATTTGAGATATAGAGGTAGATTTAATTGTTTGAGTCATAAGGAAACCTCAGAAAATTATGGTAAAATGGGGATGTATGATCTAAGAGACTGTAGAAAATTATAAAATTAGTCTCATCCCCAGAAGACCAGTAAAATGGCTTTAAGAATACTTAAAAACCAGTTGTGCCGAAAAAGGGCATTTTAAAGAATGATTTTTAAGTGGGGCTACAGGTTGAGTTATGACCTGAGAAAATTCATAGATTTTCTCTAGAATATGAGGAATTTTATGATATTTTTGGATGAATTTTTGGAACTCTAGATTGAAAAAATGCTCCAGTCAAATATTAAATAATTTTGTCCCCTGAATAGGAGACAAAACCAAAGAAAATATCCAAGAGCCATCATGACGATGCTGAGTCAGCATGTTGAGTCATCAAGTGTAATCATGACACCGACGAGTCATCATACTGAGTCATCAAGCGTAATTATGACACCTACGAGTCATTATGCTGAGTCACCAGAAGATATTTATGGACAGCATAAAAATCAGAACGCAGTATGGGAATATTTTAGACAGTCTTTTGTCTACCCGTTATAGTGAAATCTCTACTGCATGACTCAGTAAGGTTAAGTAGCCTGTCAGCAAAGCTAATTATTTTCATCTATGCTCCTCTAAGATGGCGCCATATATGTACCTTTTATTGGCCAAAATTTTAAGAAGAAGTTGTCCCAACGGTACAGGGTAAGTCAAGACTCGAAAAGTATTTGATATGGTGCAAGATTGGCTTGATAGGTGGAGAAATAATTAAGAAAATATTTTTGCACGAATTTTCTATTTATTTTCTCCCTATTTTAATGCCATAAATGATGAAAGGACATGAAAGTGACAAGTGTACGGTTAGATGAGAAAAAGAAAACATTACTTGTACGGCTAGATGGAAGACACATGTACAGTCGGATGCAAGACACATGTGCGGTTGGATTAAAGACATATGGCTTGATGATGCAAGCATGATGTCATCATGATGAGGTAAGCATGATGTCATAGGACACTTGTCACCGTAAGATCAAAAGAGAAAATGGACGGTCTAGATCGAGCCACGTATTTTTAAGATCAACGGTCCAGATTCAGTCTGCTTTTCTATAAATACCCCCTCCCCTCCCTACCATTTCGTCCAAGCATAAGAAATCCATGGGGAAGCTCTTGCAAAATGGTTTCTAGAGAGAGAAAGAAGAGGGAGAAAGAAAAGCCAAGTGGTTTCAAGCCAGATCAAACTCTAAAACAAGGTATGTGATGGTTATAGCACCTGATTTTATGCCTATTTCGGATTAGTTACTGTGTGTATCTGATTCTTAAATTTTGCATGCTTAAAGTACA